CAATTTTATGATATAACTTATGTATATTTGTGAGAATCATATGCACTTTACACACCCAAACATAGGCTATAATAATTTCAATAAAAAAAAAACAAAAAGTTGACCAAAAAACAAAAAACAAAAACCAAAAAACAAAAAATTGACTAATCCCAATACATTAAGGATAGTGGAGGTCAAAGAAAAAGGGAGTCTCAACCTTTTCCTTAATTAGAATATCTAAGATAATACTCTCTCTCCTATCTTCTCTAATCATCAACAAATCATTTTATTTAAATATCACTTAGGCTAAAAAATGAGTATCATTTTTCAAACAAAAAAAAAAAGAGATCACTTATCTTTTAGGCAGCAATTTAATTTTTGTGATCTGACAGCTTCAAAAGAAACTATATAATTTGTATGTAAGCTTAGCGTTTAGCATCATCTATATATATCTAGCGAGGAGCACCCCAACCTATTTTTATCTAGTAGATCTAACTTACCAAGCTGTATCTATCTATCTTATAATAAAAGGACACATAATCATTTTATTTAAAATATAAGAAAAAGGAAGATGTTTGATAGCTCAAAATTTTATGGCTCAAATGACTCAAATCTGTCAAAACGACGTCGTTTTACACTCAAAATCTGTCAAAACGACGTCGTTTTGAGTGATTTGAGCCATTTGAGCCACAAAAATTTGAGCTACCTAGCATTGTTGTAAGAAAAAATTATTACATAACTTTATGAGTGAGAAAAACGCTAAACTAATAGTAGAATTTTTATATAAATTTATTTCTATATATGACATCTGTAAATTATAATCATAGTCATGTGTTATATTTTTAAATGAAAAATTAGGATAAATTATATCATTTTATAATTCTGTATAACTTTTCTATTTATATAGAACTGTACTATGAGTAATTGAGTTCAAGGCATGCATTTATTTATTTATTTATTTATTTTATTTGAGTTGGAGGCATGCATCATATCCAAAATCTTGACCTTTTCTCAGAAGGGTGCAAATGTGTTTGTTTTTTTAGGTTAAAGCTTTTAGGTGAATGACCCTACTCTGAAAGTAGTGGACAACACTTTAAGACACTGAGAGAGAGACAGAGAGAGAGAGAGAGAGTCAATGTGCAATCGGGGACTTCACCGACAAATCTTGAGGGACCTCCAAAGACAAGAGTTTGTTAGATGTATACTCATACTTGTGCATTAAAAATAAATAAATAAAAAATGGTAAAAAATTACTATAAATTTTAAATATTTTATTAAAATTCTATTAAATATTTCGTATGAATTTGAGATTCATATTTATAAATTTTACACTCATATAAAATATTTAAAATTCCTAATATTTACACTCATATAAAATATTTAAAATTCCTAATATTACTCTAAATGGTGGGTGTAAAGGTTTTGTTGCTTGCATCAAAAAGTTGCCACATTCTTGGCGTTTGGGAAGTTGCTATTTTAATAGGCTATTTTAATTTTTGGCTATTTTAGTAGGCTAAAATTTTTATGTTTGGGAAGATGATTGGATTTTTTTGTGATTGGATGTGATGTTTGTGAGAGAAAAAGTGAAATGATTATGGGTTTGATGTGATATTTTGTCTTATTAACTATTTTAGCCTATTTTGTCTTTTTGTGAATTTTAGCCTAAGCTAAGCTATTTTTTTTCTTGCCAAACACCCCAATGAGATTTAAATAGGTTACTTCTCGTTTGGTTTTCTATTTGGAACTAAAAAAGTACAAAAAAATAAAAAAAATAAAATAGGTATAAAAGAAAAAAAAGGTTATATAAACTAATAAAACAAAATATTATTTTTTATCCATAATCATTATACTTTTTCTCTCATAAAAATAAAAAATGTCTCAAAATAAAAATCAAACGAAGCTAAAAAGACCAAGCTAAAAAAATTTCAATACAAAAAAATTGATTATATTAACCAATGATATCAATTAGCTAAATACAGTGACAGTATTGGCGGTTATTTATCACTTAATAATTTTATTTTATTTATTAATTAGTCTTTATTACATGTGGAAGGTGAAATCCGAACCACCATTCTTATGAATCTGAACAGAATTAGAGCAAGGCCATGTAGCCAAGCTAGGATGGAGTAGCTCTGTGAGACCGATCTAGGGTACTTCGGAAGCAGGGCCAGCTTTGAGTCGTGAAGGGTTTACGACGAATTTTTTAAATTGGATCCATCGGATATTATTATTTAAAAAAAAAATTTATTTAGATAAAATTATATCAAGACATGAAAAATAATTATAAGAACTAAATAGGATACAAATTTAGTTTCATTGCTTTACGATTTAATAAAATTTAGATAACAATATATATATAATAGTTGATGAAATTCAAGTAATTGAATCGAATTTTTATTTTTTTATCTTACCAATGCTATAAGAGCTAAAATTAATTTGGGGTAAAGATGAGAATTTTCGACATAACTCAAGCAATATATAAAATTAGTAAGTTAGGATTGATCATTTTTTGACATGAATACAACTATGACACAACTCAATAAAATGAATTATTAGTTATAATGTTCGTTCAGGGATGTTATGAAATTTTTTTAATGTTTTATTGAACTTTATCTAACTAAATAAAAAAGTGTGTAAAATAATAATTTAAGGCTAATATATTTTTTTTTTCATTTAAGATATGTATTTTTTGTTACCTATTTTAGAGCCAATCTAGTAAAAAATATGTAGTAATAAGGTACAGTTTTTTAATTAGAAAAATGCAATTGAGTTGAATCAAACATTTTATGAATTATTTTATTTAGTAGAAATAAATTTTATAAAATTTAACTTGTGGAAAAAAATTTAATCTCACCATACACTTACTAAGTTATTTTTAACTAAAAATGAAAGTTTTCACATTAAACATCAATCAGATACGAATCAAACTAACACCATAGGACAATATGAAAATAAACAAATTGAGTTAATATTGAAGTAATTATAAAATAACACGACATGATACACACCCCTAATTGGAAACTCTAAATTTTGTTCAAAATTAGAGGCCTGAGATGACCGCCTTGGTCACTTCACCTCAGGGCTAGCCTTGTTCGAAAGGGGAGCAGGACTATGAGTTAGCCCCCATGCTATAAAAAATGATTCTATCATTTATGTATCCGCAATTCAATATAGATGGATATGCACTACATATATCTTTCTCTTTTGATCATTTTTCTTATATAATCTGGAATACTTGAATGGTCCATTAGTTAACCTCCATGCTAAACTAACTAAGGGCTCATATTCAACAATTCGAATGGCTAGGTCAACGCACAGTCCAATAAACATGGACTTATCCACTTCTAGATAGAAATCTATCCATGCGGGACATAATTAATCACATACAAAGTGAAACAATCAATAAGAGTGACAGGGATCTCTCAACTGTCACCAGAAATCATATACAACCTATTTAAGGACAGCAGTTCAACCTAACAAATGTCACAACAATCTATATTTCATACTCAATTTTGGTGCTTATTCTCATATTAACTTAAGAATCGGAGAATCCTCTAACTGACCATCAGCCAAAGTTCCTCTTTTCTAAGTGTTTTCAAGCAAACCTTTATTCTAGTTCATACCAGTCCGACATCATTGCATAGTGTGGTAAGTTTTTTTCCACACAATATATATAATAATTATTATTATCTGTATATATTACTCATCACATCCAAAAAAAATTATCGTGTGTATTGTATAGATCCATCTGAAAGGCAAAAACTGTGATTTTCACCCTAGGACAAAAAAACACTATTCATACTATAATGTTATCATCTTAGTTCTATACAAAATCAACAACGGGGATTATAAAAATCTTTCCATACATAATTTTGAAATGTCACAAAATTTGAAGGCACATTTGTTCCCCAAAAAAATATTTTCTTATGAAATTGTAAAATAAAACGTTTTTTTAAAAATTAAAAAAAAAATTCTTATGCTTTGTTGCAACCTTAAAATTGATGAATTATGTTCTCCAAAAAAAAAAAAAAAAATTTAATGCATTAATAGTTTGTATGTATGATGGTGATGGGCTAATGGTCGTCATGTGTCTTTGAGTGGATAAAAGTGAAAAACGTTTTGTCCAATTAATTATTTTTTTTATTTTTTTAAATTTGTTGATCAAGAAAAACTTTTTTGTTTGGTTGAAATGTAAGGAAATATTTTGAGAGTTGGTAACACCTGTAAATGTCATACCTTTAATTTTTGTTGTCCTAATTAATGTATTAGTTTGCCAAGTTGTCAAACTAATGACGTTCAATTCAAGCCTTGTGGAAGCGCACTAACATAACACCTTCGAGGATCTGGACTCCAAATGTAAGGCCAGAGTTTTAATTAATTAAAAATAAAATAATAAAAGTCATTGAAAGATGATAAAGCTTTTACTGAAAATTCAACGTTATTTCCAAGAAGTAAATAAATATATATATGGTGTCCAGTAGTTTGTCGGTGACTCAGTCTCTCTATTATAGCACTATTTTTCTTGAACCATTTACACAAACTAAAGCTCTGTTTGTTCTAATGTTTTCTTCAATTTTTTCAGTTTGGTATAACAAAGAAAACAAATTAATGGAAAAATCCATGGTTAATGAAAAATAAACTTAATTGGGCAAAATATTTTTCGATTTTAAAAGAAAAATATTTTTCGAACTAAAATCTTAATAAGCCACCACACTATAAGTCACACCATCACCTCTACTACCACACCATTGCTATTGCTACCGCCACCATTACCGTAGCAGCCATTACCATCTCCACTGCCAAAGCTGCCACCACCACCACCACTGCTGCCGCCACTACCACCCCCACCTCCATTGCCCTGCCATCACAACCACCACTAATATTACCATTAGCATATTAGTTTTAAGAATACAACCAAACATAGGAATATTAGTGGTAATGGTAATATTAATATTCTCATTTTGTTTTCCTCAAATTTATCTGGCTGCTGTCAGCAATCACAATTTTTCGACACCCATCAATATTTGTAGTTCAACCATTTGATTCATTGTTATATCAATATCGAAAACAAAATGGATAACTGCAAATAATGCAGGGTTTCAACATTCAAGCTTTACCTCAGTAATATCAATATGGAAAATAAAGGGGGCTTCTATTTTCACACACCAATTTCCCTCACTGCACGATCCTTCTCAGTGCACACATCTACACCTTTTCATTCCAACAATACTCTCATCTTCCACTCTCAAAACCCTTCCTAAATAAACACTATAATAGTACTAAAATCACAAATGCAAAATGATCCTAAAACATTATCAATTACAGAATTTCTATTATCCCAAAGAGAAGCGGGAAAAACCTGAAACCGTGTGATATCACCACGCAAAGCGGCTTCCAGTTCCATCAAGAAAACGATCAGTATGCCACCCTTTCGACTGCAGTTCAGACAGAAATGGAGAGAACTCACCGTTCATCCTCTCATAAGCCTGTTCTAATACATTAGCACTTGATTCGTTAACAGACTTCTCCATGTTTGCAGCATATGCAGCAACTAGCCACCCCCGCAATGCATCTTCACCTGTAGCATCATGCCCCAACACCATATCGGTCCATCTCTTTCCACGATTTAAAATAAATTTCTCATCAGGGAACATTTCCTTAAGTTCATGAAGTTTTGAAGGCTTAACCACCCTGTGTAGGGCCCTTCCCACTTTAACATTCCCTGCATCCTCTATGAGTCGCCCAGGAAATAGGAGATCTTCTCCATATCTCAGATCAGCAGGGCTTGCTATTTTTCCTGTCTGGTTTAAGTACCAGTTGAGAAATAACTCAAATGAATAATAAAATAAAATTAGTATATTTAAGATTGGCATTTGAAATACAAACCTTGATAAAATCGGCCACAATCATTGCAGCTCTCTGTGGATTCAGTGTGTTGACAGGGGCAGCTCGCATTTCTTCAGCAACACTATAGACGTGTATGACAGAAAGAAGAGGTCCAACAACCAACTGCAAGAAACTATTCATGATAAGAATTTTGTGATAATTTGTAACATTGATTATTAGATAGCTATGTTCAGAGATACAAATCAAACTCTTTCATATACAAATATGAAAAAGGAATTTGTCATTTGAAAAATAGTGGACCATGCCATTCTATTTTCATGGGAATTCTATTCTCATAATTCAGACTTCTCAAAACTTTGATTACTTGTATTTATGTCCACCAAAAAAACCAAAATCTTAAAACCTTCTATACCTAATAGTTACCAAGAAACTCTCTTCGAGAAGGAAAACTCCTTTCCCCAAAAACTCATATCGGAACAGAGACCTCGTGCAAGAACTTGGGCTCAAGTTGCCCAATGAAAATGTCCAGGCCCAGAGGGAACTCAATTTGAGCAGGTCAATTTTAGCCGAAGCCCAACCCACTGAATAAAAAATTATGATTAAGCCCCCAACAAACTCAGGTTGCTCAGATTTGGCCCACTCAAGATACAGCCCTATCAAGCTTCATCTTTGCCAGAAACAGACACCAGTAACCACAAAACTAGGTCATTATCATTTTTCTTTAAATGATTTTCTAAATATGAAAAACCTCAGAAATGGCCACGTGCACCTTTACTACTATTAAAGAGAAAAAAGCAAAACAATCAGTCCTAAACCAGACGGTATGAATATGACACAAGCACTTGTAATTGTACCTTTCCTTCAATTGATGAACAAATAGTAGATGCTAACAGAATCCCTGCTCCAATTCCAATGACATTAAAAACAGTTGAAATGGCCTCCCCTTTTGCAAACAGATCACTCAGATTGCCTTCTTTGGCAAACGAGGAATATATTGGCAACCTTGTTGCTCTTGCTGCAACAACTGCCATTCCCTGTCAAACCAAACCATTGCCAAAATGATGTTCAGATCAGACGTACGAATAGAAATATAAATATATAAAATAAGACAGAAGGTTTCAATGGATAAGGAATTACAAAAAAACAACAAAAGGTAACCACCAGATTTTTTGATTTTTCTCGTTCAGTGGAAATGGTTATTAAACACCTAAACGAGAATATATTTTGGACAGAGCAAAAGAAATTGTACCGTAGGAGGGCATTAACTTGTGTCTCTTACCTTTGCAAAATTTCCAAGCCCTGCCACTTCAAGAAATAAATGCGGACATAAGGGGGAAAGAACTTCCAATCCAGTGCCCAAGTCATAGAGCACATCAGCTGCAATTGGGAAAGCTCATTCATTAAAAGGTCTTGCAGAACTGATAGACAGAAGCAGGCTGTAAGACAAATTATGCATCTTCAATTACTAGACAAAACTAGCATCCAAAGGAAACAAGCATCAGAAATTTTAAGAAGAACGAACTAATGTTTCTAGAACCAAGATACTAACCCAGAATTCTCCAACGCTTGGGCTCTGAATCCATCCTTGCACCCAAATTGCTGCATATGAGCTTTCCTACATGCTGCATACCATCCCTTAAAATCTGCATATCATCAACACAATTAAAAAATAAAATAAAAGAGGAATTCTTAGACAAAAGGCTTTCAGGAGTTGATATCTGTAGACTGTCCAATTAAAAATATCTTACCCAACTTACTGCAGTCGCCTGTGCAGGGGTAGGCCTCAAGCCCGCAGCAAATAGCAGTGACTGCAGAGGAGTAAGAATATTGAGAAGTACAAATTGGTAGGGGGTGGCATTTAGAGAGAGAGAGAGAGAGGATCAATTTAAATCTAACTGTTGCTAAAAAGAAGATTACAGAATCTCGCTAAGACCATGATAAATAAACACAAACACACAAAACGAACAAGATATGTCAGAAACTCATCCATGAACAAAAAATATTACATTCTGCTGAACATACAGAAAAACCTCTCTAGAAATTTCAAAATATTATGAAATGAATTTCGTTATGAGAGATGTTTTGCAGGAATCAAAAGAAGACCTGAGTTGATAGCACAGATAATGCTGCACTGGATAAGTGTTGTAGTGCCCGAAATTGTGTGTATCTAAGATACCCCTCATTCACACTGCATAAGCAACACACATCAGCTAAATTCGACACATTGGTATGCTACCACAGGGATTGTAATCCAAAACAGAATAAATCATCTTAGCTCACCTATATGGATAGCCTGAAGGAAAAAATTTATTCAGGAAGGATTCCCCCACCCTATGGAATACTGACCTTGAATCATCAACCACCTTCACCTAAAAAAGGGAGAAAAAATCACAGTTCAATCAGTTCGAGGAAGCAAAACTTCAACAGCAACAAACAAGTTTTGTAATGCAAATAAAATTAGATTCCTACATCTTATATGCGTCAAGAATTAAACCCTTTATAGCAACATTTCTGGTGGAAATCATGCTCCTGCTATGAGCATGGCCTATAATCAAATACTCATAATATGACACTATAATTCATCACATCATGTCATAGAAAGATGCATTTCATGATAGTGCCACTGGACATTAAGAACGTTATACTTATAAGATTGACAACCATGAGAGAGAAAGAGAGGATGGCAATTCAGAAAACAGTAATAACAACCAGCAATATAACTGATCCCACAATCACCCTCTTAAAATATTATACCCAATGGACAACCATAACAGAAACATCAGAGGATGCAGAAATGGGCATCCATCAATTTAAATTGGAATTACATGTAGGAGTTGGTGATGGGACAAATTAGTGGTGGTGATGGTTCTTCTTCAAATATTAGTAGATAATTGATTCTTTATGAAGCATAATTTGGAAACGTACTATATAGTGTAAATAAATGTATGATATGTAAAATTGTTGAAAATTAAGCACAATGTTATTCAGCTCCTTATCCAGAGAGGGATTTTAAGAAAATAGCTTCTTCAAAAACTTTTTTTTTCTTTCTCTTGATGTAACAACTACTAATGAAATTCCAAGGCTCTGGAATTGAGACGGTCAGTATTTGAAATCATCAAGCTGATCTAGGAATATGACGATAAAAATATAATCATAATTAAAGTGAACAATCCCTAATATTAAAGCAACGAGATTAGCATCTAACTGAACTGTAAGAAAAAACTTCAGTGGATTTCATTCATCAAAGTTGTATGAAATTACAATGTCCTGGGTATTCTATGATCTCTATCTGAATGTTTTGGTCCTCGATATCCAAAAGCTTCAATTCAACTGGCACGACTTTTCCATTTACAACATAATGTGAATTTTAGATCACGCATTTAGTTTTCAAAGAACCAAGCACTCACCATTAAAAAAAGGGAAAAGATATTATTCTAGTCATTTTTTATCCTAAACTTTTAAACGTGACCAAATATTTTGTGGACGATTGGCAATGATGTGGCTAAAGGGAACCCTCTAGAAAGATGGTAGACAAACACTGAGCTAGCTAGAGTGTCGGAGGTGGATGACGAAAAAGCCAAGACAACTTTAAGAGAGAGAAAGGGTGGGAGCAAAGAGTTGCGTGTAATCGAAGTAGGAGGTTGAGGCATGATTGTTGCATGCGTAGAGACCTCCTTATACAGTGCAGGTGAGACTTGCGGGCCAGCTTAGCTCAAGACATGTGCCTCAACCCGTTTTCCCAAGACAAATTGAAGGTATCTTCAATCAACCATGCACCTTAAGCATAGGTCTCAGAAACATGTCATATGTTGATAATGGCTATGTATGATACATCCCTTATGGGAGTGTCTGATGAGCTCAATATTTTGGTACAATTCGGCCTTCGTGGGTTATCACATGTCTTAGTCAAAGCCCCTCTCTCTAAGACTGGTCACAAGCCCTACACTGAGAAAGGGGTTGGTGAGGTGCCCAGACAAACCATTGAACTCTATTATCCAAATCCCAAGTCCTCAGGTGGTCCCGAGAGAGGCGCCTAGGCCCTACTCCTAACCAAAGCAATGCAAATGGAATGCTTTCGTTAGGGGATTGACGCATCACTTGATGGAGCTGCTGGCACACCAAGCAAACTGAGCGGGCACTATAAAGGCACGATGGGCGAAGGATGTTCGGTGGAGCCAGAGCATTGCTCGAGTGTCTTTAATTGTCTAGGGCTAGGGCTAGGGAATTGTGTGAGCTAGGCTTGACCAACTAGTCACAACTCCTCTTTAGGAAGTTTAACATGATTGGTCCACATACCACCCCACGAGGTTGACATATGGTGCTTGAATCTTGTTAGAGAAGCTAATGGTGTGGTGATATGACAAGGCCATGTGGCAGAGTTGGACCCATCTAACTATGTATCTCACCAACTGAACACATCCTAAACCAAAATATTTGAAAGATCTAACATCTAGCTTCAAACCCTAGACTGTATATCAATAACAACCGATAGTATAAATCTATCGAACTAATAATAAATATTTCAAACAAAAAGCATAAAGCAAGAAGACATTGTTTCTTAAAATAAAAAGTAATTAGGAAAAAAAAAACACAGTTCAGTCCCAATTGGATGCCAATAAAATAATATCTAATGGAGAGATTGTGGGAAAGGTGAAAGACCATATACTTTTTCATTACAAAACCAATAAACCGGAAAGAGATGGATTATTTTGTGAAAGAATTTTTGGGCCTATAAAAAAGTGAAATTTGTGCTTGCGGAAATTCTTGAATACAAAGATATCAAATGTGCTACATCAAACTGGCATGCCCAATAACCCATATGTGGTATTTGAGGGGTCCAGGAAGGGTAGATTGGATAAAAAAAAAAACTATCCTTAAGTTTGAACCCACGATCTCAAGATTAATAGGCTGAGTTTTAGTCACTGAACCAATAATGTTGCTTGCTCTCTCGAAATAAAAATTAAAATTTAATCTGAGTTACTCTTAGAGAAGAAGTTGAAGATGAAGAGGCATAATCACTAAACCAATGATGTCGTTTGCTCTCTCAAAAATAAATAAATAAATTGATCAGAGTTACACCTAGAGAAGAAATTGAAGATTGTGAATATGATATAGAACAGTTGGCAAGAGTCATTTTTTGAATTAGGGCTTCATATAGAATGTGTTTTTTAAAAAGTCAAAACCCCAAGTACAACACAAATTATTCAACCAAACAACCACACAAGCCCATCTTACAAACTGAAGCACCAATTATGACAAAATCCTAAAGTTAAAAAGCTTACATAACAACACTCCTACTAATTTTAACTATTCCTGACTTGAGAGCAATGTTGACATAACAAACCAGACAAACATGGAACATTCTAGGAATGCAACATAATTTAGAGTTCAATTTTAAGTAAATGAAATGAGTACAAAGAACCATCTAATTAAAAGACTTACAGAGAGTTGACCATGGGGTTGGAACTGGTAGCGGCGAGACACGGAATCAGAGGTTTCGAACCAGAATACTGGGCCTCTTTCAGGCGGCGGCGGCGGTGGTTCATCTGCCTCTTTCTTCTGCATCGTTATCTTACCCTAAATAATAATAATAATAATAAAAAAAAAAAAGCCCAAATTATTCAACCAAACAAACACACAAGCCCCAACACCACCAAAATACAACTCTTCATTGAAGACTTGAATAAATGAGCTTCATTGAAGGCTTCTTTGAAATTACGATGAGAGAGAGAGAGAGAGAGAGAGAGTACCAGCAAGTTCATGGCGGGAAGAGAAGAAATGCGCCGGCGAAGATAAGAAGAGCAGTCAGTTCCACCCAAACTACCGCCGCCAGAGTTAGGATTTTGATTCCGAAGGAGCAAATTACGAGACGGCATATATGTTGTACACCACCTAAACGGTGTCGTCCAGGGAGGACTGGTACAACTACTTTTTGTTTTGATTTTCGAATTTTCAATAAAATTAACCTGCAATAAAATTACCACGAAAAGTGTAATTTATTTGATTTTGGAATTTTCAAAAATATTTTTTTGATTTTTTTTTTAATTTTTTAGATTCATTTGATTTAGATACATTTACAAAGTACAAAATTTATGGAAATTATTTAAAATTTTCACTAAATACAAAAAAAAAATAAAAATTTAATATATTTTCGTTTTTTTTGAATTTATTAAAAACAAATATTCTACTTATTAAATATATCTAGATTAAGTAAATTTTAAAAATTACCAAAAATAAAAAATACCACTTTAAAATTTCAAAAATTATTTTTAAAAATTCAAAACCAAAGAAATTATCTCTTCTCTGGTTCCATTTTTGTATTTCAAAATAATTTTTTTTAGACATTTTTATCTCATAGGAAAAAAACTTCTCAGAAACTAATTTATCCCTGAGAACAAATGACTAAACTATTCTTTTGTGAAAAATTATTCTAACCAATTTTTATTTTTTTATTTTTTTGATCGGAACCAATCTTTTATTTGTTAGTAAAAATGATAGCACTTTTTAAAAAAGCATAAGAATGGAAATAAAAAATTGAGAATAATTTTTATAATGAGACACTAATTTTAACCAGATTATATGATTTGCCTAGATAAAAATTTGAGGATCTTTGATTCCTGTCAAACAAACAGGGTTAGGACGTCTATTGATGTTGGCATGATAACACCAAATCCAAATTTGGCCACACTACTATAATTTGACAATCTTCACAAATTTTAGTTCTTCATTTTTTCATAAAATGTTAAAATAAAAATTCTATTTGTTACCAAAATGCTATAAATGTAATTTCTTCAAAAAAAAAATCATAAAATGCTAAATGAAAATACTATTTGTGTGTGTCAATTTCCCACCACACTGCTAAACAGGTATTCAGTTAGAGAGCACCGGCAGAATAGATTAAGCCCGAACAACCTGTCACAGAAAGAAAAGATTCCGGCAGTGGTTCGTCCACCCGAGGACACTCCGACGATCAAGTCAGTTATCTCTCAAAAATTGCAAAAGTGTTTAACTCACTATTCAGAATGCAAAAAGCGTATGTTAGACTCACGAGTGTGCCTCTCTTTTATAGCCACCACTAACCTAATCCCAATAGAAGCCTAGCTTCAATGGACTCTGGCTCAATGTTAATCTTGAACTCCCAGTTAGATTGGGATAAACTCTCTAAGGCCATGTTTATTTGGGCGGACTGGATTAACATTCCCATGACTAATAGTCCTAAGATTACGAATCCGTTGGATTATGTATCCTATCTTAACTAATAGTCAAGTTTAAAATAATTAATCCGTACTTCAATTGTTTAACCAAATATCGGATTAATAATTTTATTAGACTATTAGTCCAATCCCAAGCTCATGTCCACCCAAACAAACATGGCCTAAGAGTCTTATCATTATCCAAACTGAAGTCATCCCTCATTCTAGGACTCTTGTCCCTTACCCGCTTATTCCGGATTCCGGTATCTTCACAGATAACCTCGGTCTAGCTGAGATCACCTCGGCGTCATGACCAGGACACATGGCACATCGGCTGGCACTTTGGTGCCACATCGGCCACGTGTTGTCATTCAAAAATTATGTCCCCACAACTGCCCCCTAGGTTCTATTACCTCAGCATCCTGAGGTGATGAAACCTATATCATTTTTTCCATTTAGCACATCGGCTAAGCTCGCTTTATCCTTCATTACCGAGGTCATCATTCGTCGGCTCAATAGGACCAAGACTTATTCTGTCTTCACCAATGCTTCAGAACCAATAACCAAGTTTGTTCAAGTTTCTCAGCTGAGATCGTCCCCCTAGCTGAGGTCCTGCTCCATTAAATTAAGAACTCTAAGAGTTTCAACACGCGTATGAGCTGTCACGCACAGTATTGCAACCATTTTTGCCACGCGTCTCTTCCCTATTGAACCGCACCTGACACGCGCCATTAAGTAGCATCGCACTTGCGTGCACCGTCTGACAAGCACGTCGCCCTAGGCACACTAACTGCCATTTTGCCGCCATTCTGCGTGTTTGATCAAAATCATCTCTCTCTCTCTCTCCGTCTTTTCACTTTTGCATCTTCGTTTTCGTTCAAACTTTCTCTCTCCAACTTTCTCCCCTAAATCCTCCATTAATGATTTCGCGAAGCTTTCTGCAACTACGTTCACTCTCCCTCTCCCGTGAGGCTTTTGCTGCATTTCTTTGCTCATTGCCACCATCTGACACCGACGTTCTTCACACCGACCTTACTTTCCTCGGTAAGCCACTGTTTCTCTTATTTCAATTTCTTGTTTTGCTTCAAACTGCTGTGCTTGTACACTGTCATGGTGTTTTTATTCATGCTCTTAATTTGTTACTTATGTGTTGATTTCCACCATTTGTCACCTGTTTCTCGATTCTACTCTTGCACAATCTGTTGCTGGCATACACACACACACACATAGTGTTCATTTTGCCACTGTTCTTGGCCTTGCTCACTTGCACAAATTTTACTCAGTGTTCTTTGAATTCTTGCTCGTCTTCTTGAGTCTGAATCATGTTCTTGTTTATGTTTTCTGTGTCTTTTTTCAGATTCTTTCCCTCAATCCTTGTTTCCGTAGCCTTAGGTTTGGGACTTGTTCTAGGACTTACAAACTTTAGAAAAAATTGAAACCAAAACTCCCTTTAGATCTTCAAAAACTCTTGCCCCAGCATTCGTTTAGGTTTTGCCGAGGTCCTGTAAACCCTAACAAACCACTTCCTTTTACAATCCAACACTTTCCCAAAAGTACGTAGGTAATACCTTACTAAGGCGGGTAGGTTGTGAAATAACTTTTGTCTTCTTATTCATCATCTCATGCCAAGGTTTTAATCTACCCCTCCCTTTGTGTCCAACATCTTTCTTCTTTATGCCCTTAACTTGTGTAATGTTGGGGTCGTCCACATCTAATTCATTGGTACCAAAACTTCCAACTCCCTTCATCATATTATTTACTTTTACACACAATTCCTTAATTCCTTCATCAACCAATTGATAGGCAGGTTTGTGCATAGATGCTTGAGTTGCTAGTTTCACCATTCTTGGACAAAGATCTCTATAACGTGCTAATATTAACAACTTCGGATCATCCTCATCCACTACAACATTTTTCTCTTCAACTTCACAATCTTTTGCATCCAATCTCCATCGGCCTAATATATACCTTTCGGGAATTTTCATAACATTCATTCTATCAAGTGCTTTGATTGCATGACTATATAAAATTCCAAAGTTCTCAAATTTCTTACAAGTACAATGTATTTCTTGACAACTTTTTTCTCCTCTTAGCCCAATAACTTCCACCCTACCCTCCACAATATACTCTTTACCATTACCATACAAGCCAATCACGCACTTAACTTCTCCTTCTAACTCATGGAATTGCTTCACTTGACAACAAAGGGACGTATCCAACTCACAATGAAATAAATCAAAGATAGGAGGGGTGTACAAACTCCTAACTTGGATTAAAATGGGAGACTTTTTCAATTTCATTCTTGGCAACTTTTGTCTAGAATCATATATTGCGGAAATTTCCTCATACCGCTTATCTACAACAATCTGATTGAAGTAAGTAAAGAATTAAACAATGTTATGATCACCCTTCAAATATCCCCTTAATGTTCCATTTAGACTTTCACTAAGTTGTGTGCTTCCATTCCTCCAGTAAATACCCACTTCATATACACATGCGCCCACTGTTCTCTTTTTCTCCAAGTTCTTTTCATCCACTCATTCTCTTGCAAGTTGTATTTATCAATCAAAGAATTCCAAGCTTCAATTAATTCATCCTCATTCTCGTAGTCATAAATGCAAGCTTTTAAATCGCTACTAAATTTTGAACCACTCTTGAACAAGTAACCTAAATGCTTCAAAGCATTTTGCATTAGGTGAAAAGTGCACAACCCATGAAAAACCTCAGGCATGATTTGTGAAATTGCTTTAGCCATTGCTTGATCTTGATCTGTGAAAAAACTAACAGGTTTTTTTCCTAACATCGCATCCAAAAATGTTTCAAATAACCATTCAAATGACTCTGCAGTTTCATCATATAATAATGCTGCACCAAAAATCACTGTCATTCTAAAGTGGTTAAAGCCACAAAATAAAGCAAGTGGACGGTACTCCTTATTTGTTCGAAAAGTTGTGTCAAATGACACCGCATCACCGAAAAGCCCATAATCTGTTATCATCTGATGATCAGCCCAAAAAATATTAGTAATCATCTCATCTACATCCAACTGAATGGCATAGTAAAAATATGGATTTTCTGCCACTTGCTGCTGGAAATATCTTAACAAACTCCCCGCTTCACCATACTGCAAGTTTCGCTGTCTTTTTGCACGTAAGTATGTTTTCTGATCCTCTCGCGTGAACCCTACAAATTTCTTCCCTCCTGCTATAGCACTAATAAGATCATGTGAAGCCTTAAGAGATATTCCACTCTCATCAGCTATGTCAATATTTATACCCTGAGCATCACATACCTTTCTCTGAGATGGCATCAAATGAGTACATTGAGGAAGATGCAAAGGGTGGTTGTGGTTGCTATCAAACTTCGACACAATCCACTTCGACAAGTCCCGCTTAAAAGATATATGCATAAATGCTTTACAATTTGTTCTTGTCTCACTTCGAGGATTTTTTATCATTGTGTACCGTTTATCTTTTTTCCTCTCTCCCTCCTTACAACAAACAAACTTTCTACTAGTCATAACACCATCTTTCTGACTTTTGTTACAATAATCTCTTCTAATACTAAACCCCACAATTCTTCCGTATTCATTATAAAACTCATATGCAGCTTCTTCTGATAGAAGCTCCATTCCAAGATATGGTGATTTATCCTTGGCCAACTCTCCCATTTCTTCGATGCATCCCTCAAGTCCACCATCATCCATTATACTATCCTCCATTTCAACACTAACAAATATGGGGAAAATATATATATATATATATTAAACGAAACAAGAATCTGAGCAAAAAAGTTATTAATTAATTTTAAATGCTGAGTAATTAAACAATTCAATGAAATCTAATAAATCAATTAATAATGTAAATTAATTAGAAGGATAGGGGAGAGGGAAAAAAAAAAAAGATGTGTAATTTGTACAGTAACATTGGAAATTTATTGTATCTGAGTAGATTATAATATACAATTGCAAAATTATATTAGAATTAGTATATTATATAATATAGAGAATCTTTTGGCAGACACGCTTAAAGATGTGAATCATATGCCCTCTTATTATATAAATTTTTGATATATGTTTTGTATTTTTGTTACAAATGTTATGTCATCATTTATTGAGTTATAACAATTTATGATTAAAAAATTAAATTCGCATTTTATAGTAAGATTATAGATTTTTTTATTGAAACTTTTTTTAGACCACAAAATGCATAACATTATTACAAAAAGAAATAACATTGTTATAAAAATTTGTAATATTTTCACAAAAATACATAACATTGCTATAAAAAAAATAATTATGAATTACAAATTATCGTAACTCCTTAAAAAATTATATAATATTTATACAAAAATACATAATATGTACAAAACAAATTACATAATAAAATTTTTTTTCTTATAATATACATTTGTGTTTCTCAATCCATTCACAAAAAACAAACCAAACTATTATACTTGTTCAACCCACTAACATACTGTACAAAACAAAATACAAAACATATATACATATAATATATATAGATATACATACCAGTTTGTTGAACAATAATGGTCTGTAAATCCAGCAGAAGAACGGTGAAGCAAAAATAAAGAACACTGTTCAATCTGTTTGAGAGAAGACAAAAATGTTAGAAAATAAAAAAATAAAAAATAAAAACTAACTTTTAGAAAATAAAAAAATAAAAAATAAAAACTAACTTTTCAATCCATGTCAATAGAAAATAAAAAATAAATAAATAAAAACTAACCTTTCAATCCATGTCAATGGAGAACCTTTGCTTACGGATTAGACGGCGGCGGCCCTAGGTTCATTGTTTTGTTTATTATAGGGAGAGAAGAATTAATAAACCCTCAGATTAATTAAAAAAAAAAAAAAACATTAAAACGGTGGCGTTTTACGTCACAACAGTCACGGCTGTGGATACTCTACAGCAAGGACCCCCAATCCAAAAATTTGAGGATCTTTGATTCCAGTCAAACAAACAAGGTTAGGACATCTATTGATGTTGGCATGATAACACCAAATCCAAATTTGGCCACACTACTATAATTTGACGATCTTCACAAATTTTAGTTCTTCATTTTTTCATAAAATGTTAAAATAAAAATTCTATTTGTTACCAAAATGCTATAAATGTAATTTCTTCAAAAAAAAAAAAATCATAAAACGCTAAATGAAAATATTATTTGTGTGTGTCAATTTCCCACCACACTGCCAAACAGGTACTCAATTGGAGAGCATCGGCAGAATAGATTAAGCCCGAACAACCTGTCACAGAAAGAAAAGATTCCGACAGTGGTTCGTCCATCCGAGGACACTCCGACGATTAAGTCAGTTATCTCTCAAAGATAGCAAAAGTGCTAAACTCATTATTCAGAATGCAAAAAGCGTACCTTAGACCCATGAGGGTGCCTCTCTTTTATAGCCACCACTGACCTAATCCCAATAGAAGCCTAGCTTCAATGAATTCTGGCTCAATGTTAATCCTGAACTCCCAGTTAGATTGGGATAAACTCTCTAAGAGTTTTATCTTTATCCAAACTGAAGTCATCTCTCATTCTAGGATTCTTGTCCCTTATCCGTTTATCCTGGATTCCGGTATCTTTGCAGATAACCTTGGTCTAGCTGAGATCACCTCGGCGTCATGACCAGGACACATGGCACCTCGATTGGCACTTCGGTGCCACATCGGCCACGTGTTGTCATTCAAAAATTATGTCCCCACAGCTGCCCCCTAGGTTCTATTACCTCAGCATCCTGAGGTGATAGAACCTATATCATTTTTTTCATTTAGCACATTGGCTAAGCTCGTTTTGTCCTTCATTACCGAGGTCATCATTCGTCGGCTCAATACGACCAAGACTTATTCTGTTTTCACCAGTGCTTCAAAACCAATAACCAAGTTTGTTCAAGTTTCTCAGCTGAGATCATCCCCCTAGCCGAGGTCCTGCTCCATTAAATCAAGAACTCCAAGAGTTTCAACACGCGTATGAGTTGTCACGCACAGTATTTCAACCGTTTTTGCCACGCGTCTCTTCCCTATTGAACCGCACCTGACACGCGCCATTAAGTAGCATCGCACTTGCATGCACCGTCTGACAAGCACGTCGTCCTAGGCACACTAACTGCCATTTTGCCGCTATTCTGCGCGTTTGATCAAAATCATCTCTCTCTTCGTCTTTTCACTTTTGCATCTTCGTTTTCGTTTAAACTTTTTCTCTCCAACTTTCTCCCCCAAATCCTCCATTACTGATTTCGCGAAGCTTTCTACAATTACGTTCACTCTCCCTCTCCCGTGAGGCTTTTGCTGCATTTCTTTGCTCATTGCCACCATCTGACACCGACGTTCTTCACACCGACCTTACTTTCCTCGGTAAGCCAATGTTCTTCTTATTTCAATTTCTTGTTGTACTTCAAACTGCTGTGCTTGTACACTGCCAAGGTGTTTTTATTCATGCTCTTAATTTGTTACTTATGTGTTGATTTCCACCATTTGTCACCTGTTTCTCGATTCTACTCTTGCACAATCTGTTGCTGGCATACACACACACACATAGTGTTCATTTTGCCACTGTTCTTGGCCTTGCTCACTTGCACAAATTTTACTCAGTGCTCTTTGAATTCTTGCTCGTCTTCTTGAGTCTGAATCATGTTCTTGTTTATGTTTTCTGTGTCTTTTTTCAGATTCTTGCCCTCAATCCTTGTTTCCGTAGCCTTAGGTTTGGGACTTGTTCTAGGACTTACAAACTTTAGAAAAAATTGAAACCAAACCTCCCTTTAGATCTTCAAAAACCCTGGCCCCAGCATTCGTTTAGGTTTTGCGGAGGTCCTGTAAACCCTAACAAACCACTTCCTTTTACAATCCAACACTTTCCCCTTAAGCTGATGTTATGGGTATGTGGAGGTGGAAGGTAGACACCCCACTTAAGCTAGAATATTTCAGGCAGGAGTTCGCCATCCCTGCCGATGTTCACCTTAGGTTGGCTGGAGAGGAGGACTCCATTATGCCTAAGGACGACTCTATGCATTTTCCAGTCGTAGCCTTTATAGAGTGTAGACTTAGGCTTCCTCTCGATATTCTCTTCCGAGAAGTCCTTCACTATTATAAACTCAACCCAATGCAATTAGCCATTAACTCTTACAGAGTCATCAATGGTATTATAGCCTTAGCTAGCCGAGAAAATGCTAGGGTAACTCTAGCCGACATCCAGTACTGCTACACCATGTGTGGCCTTACGTCAGAAAAAGGCTACATTTACTACCTTAAGCCGAGGTCTACGGAATACAAACTCATCGCCGACCTCCCTGATTCCAATAAGGGCGTTGGGGACGATTATTTCATCGTCTCGGGCAACTGGGAGTTCCTTCCAGATGACGACCTTCACCTCTACTCTCTTAGCCATACACTGTTCAGAGAGGGAGATGGTAAGAGCCAAGTGTTTTTACTTGCTTCTCAAGTCTTTCATACTTTGTTCCTTCTAAATATTCTGATGTTTGTATGTTTTATTCTGCAGTTCTTCCTCAGCCTCCAAAGGACTTCCGCAAAAATTTATATCCCAGCAAGGATTTTAAGAAGCTACTTAACTTGCCTATCAATCAACGCAAGGCTCCTCTGCTTCTGAACTATATCCCGACTTACAAATTCGTCTTGCCCAACGTCCCGAAGAAAAGCAAGACTCCTCATTCCGCCACAACTGTGATATCCCTGTTCCGTAATATGTTAATCGGTCCTTAATATGAGTATGATTATGTGTTTAATATGATTCTATGTGCCATTATGTGAAAATATATGGTTTTAAATTTCTATCTGTTCACTGTAGAAATATCTGTTCGATTATCTGCTTTGGAAATTAATTGAAGGCCTTATCGGCCACAGAACCCAAAATTGATTGCGCCATTGCGATTAGCGTAATTTTTAGAGCCTACGGTGAAATTTAATTGGAAATTGATTCAAATCAGAATTAATTGATTTAATTGATGAATTGGTCCCCAATTATTTATTATTATTAAATTCGAATTAGTGGGGTTTGTTGTAATAAGGCACTACACACTCTATTCTCTCCTTATAACTTCATTTGGCTGATTTGAACTCAAAAATAGAGAGAGGGCCGGCTATAGAGAGAGAGGGAGAGAGAATTGTGTAATCTTAGCTCAAGGTTTGGAGAATTGGAGGATTAAACTCAAGATTTTGCCATAGATTGAAAGAATTAAGCTCCTAGGTAAGTGAATTCATGAGTTTAATGTTGTAAATTGTGAATTCAAGTTTGAATAATAATCAAGAACATGGATTAAACTGATTATGAGAAAATTGAGTTGATTTTGTTGTAACTGAAGTCACTAGAGGCATGCATGTAGGAAATTGCTATAAATTTCCATGTTTAAGCATAAATTGTGTAATCCATGATGAATCTTGTTTGAAATCTATGTATTTGATCATCTCTTCACCAAGTAAATTGAGAATAATGAATATCTCTCACATGCAAGTATAGATCATGGAGGTGTGAGCTTTGCATGTTTGAATTTGATGTGTTGTTGATGAGTTTGGGTTAATTTGAGGCATGCATGTAATTAAATTGTGACATTGAGCTTCATTGTGTTATAACTTTGTGTTTATATCATGTTAGAATATGTATATGTGAAGTTTGAGCCAAAATCATGCATTTGGGACCTTTGAACATCAAATTGAAGCTCAAGAACATGTTATG